TGTCATTCTCTGAGTTTGAGCAGCAGGTTAAACCTAGTGGGGTCAGTAGCCTGATATTAAGGAACCTTACCAGAAATAAATTATTGACATCAGAGAGAAATATTAACCCTCTAAGGTCTGTATGTGATAGCTTAAGTGATCATGAGTCCATGTCAAGAGTCTTAGATTCTCAGGTGGGTGTAGTTAACCCCAAAGAAGGTCAAACTTTAACTGCTGAGGTGTCAGAGGATGTTGGTGACAGGCTGAAGGTGGATGTAGACGTTCAGTGTGATTTGATGAGATCAAGCAGTACCCTCATTGTGCTCGGAAATCAGCAGCAGTTTATAGGACTTGTGTTGCCTCATTCTGGGGAAATCCAGACAGTGTCATCCTCATACAGGTATGATCAGCAAATCACTACTGATGAGTTTATCAGCACACTGTTCAATAATCGGGAAAAAATAGCAGCTCTTTACATTCCTGAGAGTTCTAAGGTAGTAGACATCAGCTCTGCCATCCAAGATGGTTTGATTGACAGTTACACAGCACAGGTTTTAAAATCTATAGAAATTCCTAATGTATTTCCGGATGTTGATAACCTTAATGAAAAGTTTTCATCCTGGCTTATGTATAAAAATCTCACAGTTGACGGTGGTCGACATGCTGCAGATTCCATAACAACTGAAAATGTCCCTGTTCCCACAGAGGCAAGGCAGTTATTCATCTCCTACCTAATGATGAACAGTTACATTGATCCAATGTCACAACAGAGGGTGCTGATATTCGATAGACAGCTGACAGAAATGGTTAAAACTTTTCTCGAAGAGTCACTATCTTCTCTAAACACTGAGAAAAATGTGACTTCTCTGACTTTAAATGCCAGTGACCTTTCAGAACAAGATGATTTAGAGTTGCCTTTGCACATAAGTGAAGAAACAGAGGAGTTGACGAAGAACACACGACACACATTTGATTCTCATGATCTTGTTTCCTCATTCAAAGGGAGAATGAACTTTGATGAAAACACACAGCACACATTTGATACTCAAAGCCTTGCTTCCTTGAGTAATGGAAGAAATGCCTCTGGTGATAAAACTTGTTCAGTTGACAAGGCTCTAAAAGAAAATCCTGTCAAGGAATTTTCTGATACCACAGAGCCTGGTTTAGTAGAGAATGCCATGTTTCAAAACACCACAGACCAGACAATGCCAGGTGATTTTGCAGAGAGAATTAGTGGACATAGTTTAAAAACTGATGATGGAGGTACTGATGAAGGACTTGATATTCCTGCTTTTCTAAAGATGTCAGTCCATCCCGCAGATGTTGTCCCACCATCCAGCCTGTGTGATTCGGAATTGCCAGTGAAATCTTGCTGTCAGATACTACCACGCTGTGATGCTGAGTCACTGTGCACAGAATCAAGAAGTAGTATTAACCCAGCTGATTTTTTATGCTCTAAGAAGTTGGAAGATGAAAGTGAACGATGCCATGCTATTTGTGTTCTGAAAGCACAAATGGAGGAGGAGGGGGGTTTAGATGTCACCTCTGGGAGATGTTATGACCCGGAGGAAACCGTTGATAAAGGCCTAGTTGATGAGACGACACTACTGAAACTGTATGACCGACAGGCAGATGAAGAAGGAAGCATTGCAGGGCAGGAGGAGGGTACAGTATCTCTTCTAAAACAGGTAGAGTCAGACGGACCCACAAATGTTGGTCTTTGTATAATAGAAGAGCAGACCCCTTTAAAGTCTGATTACACCTTTAGTATTAGTGGGTCTTTGCAGTCTGGACTAGTGACTGATGCCGATAACGTGCTTAACCTAGATCCCAAGGTCAGCATTTACCCAGAAGAAAACTGCAGCAAGTCCATCTCTGATGATGGTAATCTGGGATTAATTAATTTTAATGAAGTTGAAAACACACTGCAGCCTAATGATAAGAAGGCTGCTGTCATGGAACTTGATCTGACCAATGAGAAGGATGATAAGTTAGGGACAGAAACTGAGAGTGGGGACGCATTAGGTTGTGTGACAGGAGGAAATGCAGAAGAGATGAGCGAATATCTACATCATTCCCCACCCATGGATCCTCTGACGATCCCCACCTCCTTGAGGAGTCAGGTTACTGTAGAGCGTATTCATCACACTAGCAAATCACCTTTACTGGCTGAAGACAGCAGCTCACAGGAGCTAATCGGTACCCAGCTAATGGACGTATCCTGTCTTGGGACAGAAAAGATTGCTCCAACTGTCCAGTCACATCAATCTAGTCTGAGTGACAAAACCTCCAACAGCAACAGTGATACAGAAAGCCAAACTCACTTTTGTAAATCTGACAGCTCACCAACTGATATTGATTTTGTCACAGATGGATACAATGCTGTGGGAAATCAGACAGTTCGTGAGA